CCCCCCCCCCGCACCGACGTTGTAAAGCTCGTTTTGGACATGACAACTTGTACTTCTCATTGTTGCAACAGGTCCACCTGTATCTTTAAACAGCTGGTTTTTCCCCATCTCCTCCTCAAGTTATACTGACATCCAATATAGTGAAAGCAGGGGTTATACTGTGGGGGAGGGATCCTGAGGATCTTGAATGTACTTCTACTGTCTTATTTATATTTTGTAGACACTTAGCAGAATTGCCCTCAGAATTTATAGATTATTTCATGGCCATCTCTCTTTTAATTGGGGGTGAAATTCATGTTACATAAATGTAACATTAGTGTATTCATGTTACGTTTATGTAACATAAGTGCTGTTCAGTGCCATGGGGTCCATTCACAATATTGTACAAGCATCCGCCTACCATGATTTAAAACATAATCATTACCCTAAACAAAACTTTGTACCATTCATTAATCACTCCCTCTTGCCTTTGAATAACCCCTTGGGAAACATCAATCTCTTTTTTTTTTTCTTTGCCAGTCCTGGGATTTGAACTCAGGGCCTGGGCCCTGTTCCTGAGCTAGCACTCTTACCACTTGAGCCACAGCACCACTGCTTTGTCTGAGTGGTTTATTAGAGATAAGAATCTCATGTACTTTCCTTCCTCGGGATCGCTTCGAACTGCCATCCTCAGAGCTCAGCTTCCTAACGAGCTAGGATTACAGGCATGAGCCACTAGTGCCTGGCCAATCAATCTTCTTTCTATCTCTACAGGTTTACATATTCTACGTAGTTCACATAAATGGAATCATACAATAAATGGTCTTTTTTGTCTTCTCACATTTAGCATATGTGGCTTTTTATCATTATTTCATTCCTTTTTAGGACTATTATTCCAGTGTGAGTATATACTGTAGTTTTCCCATTTACCCATTGATAAACAGTTGAGTTGTTCTTCTTTTTGGCTTGAATGTCTGTTTTCAGTTTTTTTAGGTATAAAATTTCTGTGTGACATTACAATTTTATGTTTTGACTTTTTAAGGAATTGTTAAACAGTGATTTATCATTTCACATTTTAATGGTAATATATGAGAGTTCTAATTTTTCCTTTTCTTTGCCAACATGTGTTTCTGTTTAGTATTATTACTGTTTTTATTATAGCCATAGTAAATATAGTGACATGAAACAATATTTCATTGTAGTTTGATTTACATTTTTCTACTGACTTGTGATGAGTATCTTTTCGTGTGCTTTCTGGCCACTGGTATATTGTTTTTGGAGAAATGTCTTTTCCTATTCTTTGCCAACTTTAAAATTAGGTTGTCTTAGTGAGATGCTTGTGGCTTATATCTGTATTTCTAGCTACACAGGCAGCTGAGATATGGGGATCATGGTTCAAAGCCAGTCTAGGCAGACAAATCTGAGAGACTCCTATCTCCAATTAACCAACAAAATTCCAGAAGTGGAGGTGTGGTTCAAGTAGGGGAGTACCAGTTTATAGCAAAAAAGATAAGAGAGAGTGTGAGGCCCTGAGTTCAAACCTTAGTACTCGCATGTGTGTACACACACACACACACACAACACACACACACACACACAAAGTGGGGTGTTTTTTTGGGGGGGAAGGGGATTGAACTTGGTGCCTCATCCTTGCTGAGTAGGTACCTTACTACATGAGCAATGCCCTCAGAAAGTTTTCTTTTTTATTGTTAAGTTGTAAGAGTAGAGTACTTTATGTGTTTTTAATATTTGTATTGGTCAGATATATGATTTGTGAAATTTTAGTGATATCCAACTTAATAATGCGTTGCTCATGCCTTGGATGTCATAGCTAAGAATCCCTTGGAATTTGAGGATATATAGTTTACCCCTGTATTTTTTTCTAATAGTTTTTTTTGTTGTTGTTGTTTCTTTTATTATGTTCATCAGTCTGGCCTCGAGCTCTTTCTGAAGCCTAGGCTGGTCTTGATCTTCTGATCCTCCTATGTCAGTTTCCTAAGTGCTGGGAGGCATATCCATATACTACCACCTCCCATGAGCTTTTAAGCTTTATAGGTATTTAATTTCTTTTGAGATATTTTTATTATATGTTGTTAAACAAGAGTTGTGTCTTCTTCCCTTTGCCCCTTTGTCCCTCTGTGTTTGGTTGTTGTTTTATATTTCTGAGTGGCACTTAGATTTCCTTTTCCCCAAGACAAAGTTACAAATAATGGGAAGTATAGTTGAAATATTAGTACTCTTCAGTCACATAATGTGTTAGAAAAGACTTCGTAAGCTGGGCACCAGTGGCTCACACTTGTAATCCTAGCTATGCAGGAGGTGGAGTCCTGAGGATCATGGTTCAAAGCCAGCCAGGACAGGAAAGTCCTTGAGACTCTTATCTCCAGTTAACCACCAGAAAACTGGAAGTGGTGCTGTGGCTCAAGTGGTAGAGCACTTGCCTTGAGATGAAGAGCTGAGGGACAATGCCCAGGTCCAGAGTTCAAGCCCCATGCATGACCAACACACACACACACACACACACACACACA